GAAGAATGAGCTGAGAAGTGAAGTCCATGAAAAAGTGTTCCCTTAACATAGCGAATAATACGAAGTACAGCAGCATAATGAGTGGAGCGGGGGGCAGCCATAAATTGACTAACAACATGAACTGCATATGCTATGTCTGGGCGTGTCGTAGTAAGATAAACCAAACTACCAACCAACTGCCGATAACGAGTAGGGTCAGGGAGTGGAGAACCATCTAATGGTGTGAGCTTGACATTCGGTTCAAGAGGTGTGGAGACATTCTTACTATCAGTGAGATCGGCTTTAGATATGAGATCTGATGCATATTTCATTTGAGAGAGAAGATAACCAGCATCTGAGGATGTAACTTCAAGTCCCAAAAAATAACTCAAAGAGCCAAGATCTTTCATCTCAAATCTGTGGCTGAGAAACTGCTTAAGCTCATTAATCCTTGAAACATCATCTCCAGTGATAATCATATCATCAACATATATGAGTAAGAGAACCATTCCCTGAGTAGATTTACGAACAAATAAAGCTGTATCATGTGGACTAGAGGTGAAACCAAACTCACTTACAGTAGAACTGAATTTTGTAAACCAAGCTCGAGGAGACTGCTTTAAACCATACAAGGCTCGTTGCAATCGACATACCTTATTCGAAGAAGGAGTAAGTCCAGGAGGCGGTTTCATATAAACGTCCTCTTCCAAATCACCATTAAGAAAGGCATTCTTCACATCCATCTGAAATAGCTTCCATTTACGTACAGCAGCAATAGCTAGTAAACTACGTACTGTGGTAAGACGAGCAACAGGAGCAAAGGTCTCCTCATAGTCAATGCCATATTCCTGCGTAAAACCCTTTGCCACCAGACGTGCCTTATAGTGCTCCACAGATCCATCAGAATGAGTTTTGATCTTGTATACCCACTTGCATCCAACAAGAGTCTTATCAGGAGGAAGATCAACCAAGTCCCAAGTACCTGTCTTTTCCAAAGCCTGTAATTCCTCTTTCATAGCTTGTTGCCATAAAGGATCTAAAGAAGCTTCTTTGTAGGACTGAGGTTCATGTAAAGAGGTGAGTGCGAAAAAACAATGATAATCTTGAAGATATGTAGGTGGATTTCTTACTTGTGTAGGATGACTAGAAGAGGAAGTAACTGGTGGATTTTCAATCTCATTTGTTCTAGGTGCAATATCCGCAAAAGAGACATCTTCTGAAACAAGAGCCATGGACGTTTGATCATTTGAAAGCTCATTAGGAGACCCTGCATCATCATTAGGAAATAACTCAAGGGATGGGTTAGTGAAGATAGGAGGGTGATGAAAAGGAGACACCTTGAATTCAGAAAGAGAAGCAAACATAGTGTGTTCCCAAAAAACAACATGATGAGAGACACAGAGTTTTTGTGATACTGGATCCCAACAACGATAACCTTTATGTTGTATCCCATACCCCAAAAAACAACAAAGTCGAGCTCGAGGCTTTAACCTGTGATGTTCATGAGAAGGTAAAAGAACAAAACAAGCACAACCAAAAATTTTAAGAAAATCATAGGCAGGAAGAATACCGTAAAGACACTCATAGGGAGATTTATTTTGTGTGACGATAGACTGATTAGGCTTTGATTGGGTCTTCCACTGATCAGATCTTTGAGGTAGTGAAGTACAATTAGGCGCAATATGGCCTTTTTGCTTGCATTTATGACATTCTACCAAACTGCATTCATATAGAGCATGTCCGTACTTGTTGCAGTGCCGACAATACTTCTGTCCTCTCTTACTCAAAGGAAACTTGTTGATAGCTGCAGCCATAGTAGTATCTCGTTGAGGCTTAAGTAAGCCCAGATGAGTTTCATCAGATAATAATCGTGAGAGAGCACTATCTAAGGTAGGTAAAGGAGGCTGATGCAATAAAGAGGCTCTACATGGTTCAAAATCATCCGTAAGTGCCATAAGAAATTGAATTAACCTCATTTTATCATGATACTCAATGTACTTCCCAATATCAGCAGTGTCATTGAAGGTTGGTTCTGAGAGAGCAAGCTGATCCCAAATAGTCTCCATCTTAGCATAAAAACTAGTAATGGACTCTCCACGTTCTTGTTTCAGATTGTGTAACTCTTCCCACAATTGATATTGACTGGATAAATCAGAAGTGGTATAC